CTCAAGATATCTTTTCTAGAAGGCGAAAATAACTCGTTTTGAGAAAACGAGCTTTAAACTTACAGTAACAGTACTTGTCAAAATAAAACTTCAATACCTCAAGATTCGAGTTCCGTAAAAAACAAAACTTCGAATTTCTTTCAGAGTTTTAGGTTAAGTCCTGCCTTAATTGAGAAATATAGTTCTTGTGACGGTAGTATTATGGAAATAAAGACAAATTTTGGCCTAAGGAACTCAAAATCGGTTTATTTTAGAAATCAGAATACGAGATATTTAGAGGATTTTTTGAGATATTTAGAAAATTGTTTGGGATATTTAGACATTTTTGATATTTACGTGATATTTGTGGAAAGGCCTGCCCTTCAAGTTCGATTGTGTTCGGTTTTACCGCGTCGTTTAACCGGGAAGACACTGGGACGAGGTGGGCCAAATCCTGGCGACGAAAGGCCTTATGGGGAATATTCCAAGATGGCGGCTGTGTTGTGTGGACTTGTGGCAGACTCGCTCCCGGCGAAAACAGTAAGTGAGCGTTTTATAGCTTAGACAGTTGAAAATGCTTTTAGGACTTCTATGTTCAGCGTTATTCCTGAAATACTTCCCTAGAGTGCATTTTTAACCAGGCGATCTGGGCAAAACTGTGCAACACGTGCTTTAGCTTGTCAAATCGAGATGTTCGGGTCAGCTGTCGGGTTTAACTGTAAGTTTACTGTGTACCAGTTCAGCCGACCAGTTGTGAAACTGATAAAGTAAATGCTGCTATTCGGATCAGATGAAGTTTTACCAATTTCATTTTTCAGTCGATCGGTAGCGTATTTTGCAGTCTGAATGCATAACGGCCAATGATGGTTAACCGTTTCCAACTCTGGGGGTGGCTCCCATGAGGGTGCTACCCCTACCAAGATCCTGTTTTGCGGGCGTGGCTTGAAATTTTTTTACCGTTTTTTTTACCAATCCTAAAACAACACATTACCTCCAGTCTGATTTTTTCAGCTCAGTACCCTAAAAGGTACCACAAAAGCTCTTGTTGTGGACCTTTTGAGGCTGAACACTCTTGGAGGTACCAAAACTGCTTTTTGAACCCCTGAAAGATACAATGAGCAACCCCTTCCTTTTTATATGGTAGTCCCCCCTGATCTGCATATAGCCGGGAAACAACTTAATTGATCAACAGAAAATAGACAGTTTTAACAGAACTACAAAACATTTTCTCCAGCGTTGTAAGTTTCCTACATCTTGCATGTATATTTTTCAGCATCTGAGTGGTGTATTACCATATATACACACTGTAATGATTTTGTTTTTTTTTCCAGAAATTTTGCTGCCATCATGTTAAATGGTTGTCACGCTTGGCCAGCAAGGCTGCAAAGTCACGGGGCAGGGGTCCTTCAGCTAAAACCACAAAACAGGCTAAACCAGTTAAACGGCAAGAAGTAAGTTGGAAAATTGTCACTGAGTAGGTGTATTTACTCTATAGACTAATTAATCAATGTGAACATGGCACTGGCTCTACCAAAAGAAACTCATGGGACTTCATTGCATTTAAAATTCACAAACCAAGTGTATGTTAATAGTTCACTTCAGTAAGTTACAGTCAGTTACATTTGTACATCTAATGTTCCTAACTGGTACTGTAAGAAATGTCCAGAGACAAGCAAGGCTAATTTGTATGTTGATATCAGACACTAAAGGGTTATTTCTTTAAATGATTTAGGGGAGCAGGGATGATGTAGTGGTGAGAGTACTCTCCTCCAAGTAGTGAAGCCCGGGTTCGAATCCTGGACCCAGCTTCATAAGTGGGTTGAGTTTGTTGTTGGCTCTGGCCTTGCCTCTGAAGGTTTTTCTCCGGGGTCTCTGGTTTCCCACCCTCCACAAAAACCAACACCAGTGGTGGATCCAGACTTTGAGCTAAGGGGGGGGCAGTTTTGTTTTACTTGTCCTGCCAGCTTTTCTTCCTTCAGTCATTTCTTCTTTTTTCACTCAAAATAGGGGGGTGGGGAGAGGCAGGCCCCCAGGGCCCCTCCCCTAGATCCGGCACTGAACACTTCTAAATTCCAATTCAATCTGGAAGCAGTGGACAAAGAGCATCTTTGTGGGATATGCCACTGCAAATTCCTATTTATTTTATTTTATTTATTTATTTTATTGAATGATCAACAGGATTTGAAGCCTATAATTTCAAGAGCGCTGAACAAAAGAAGACAAGCAGCTAATCAAAGAATAATATCAGCACAAGAACAGCTTCAAAGCAAAGAGTCAATCTCCAAAGGACCCAGAGAAATTATAATTGAGCCATCTTGTTCTGAGGTATGTGCTATTTTCAGCAATCATGTTAACAAAGGCAACCACACGGACACAGTACTGCTTAAGTCTTGTACTTTCAAGTGACTGGCTGTATTGCTGTGATTATGTGATGTCAGGAAAATCTGGCCTGGATGGGATGCAAGTCCCTTAAGGTTATAATGGGAGTTCCCTATGTTCCCTGTGTTCCCTGTGGGAGTTCCCTAGGATTAGAAGCAAGTCTGTTTAGGTTAACTTGGGAGACCTCATAGGCTGAGGTGCATCTCTATGAAAAGGGAGGTGAGTACTCTCAGGTATAGGGTGGAACTGCTCGGGCTCACTAATTCTCCTCTGAAAATTAACTTCAAGTAAACTAAGAAAATGAAGCTTAAGGTTGTGCTGGTTTTACAAGTATTTGTAGTACTTAACAAATATTTGTAGTATTTAACAAGTATTCCACCAGTGTGTATTGGATATCAGATGGTAGCCAACAAGGTGCATAACGTGGTATAAATTGTTTTATTAAAAATGCCCCTGAGATATACTAGGAAAGTTAAACTAAAATAAAAATAAAAAACTTAATGCCAAAAAAATGTATTTGTAGAGCATGGTATAGTGGCTCATAATCCATGGTGGCTCTGCCAATGAAAACTCTTGAACTGCATCATACAGTGATACAGTTTTTAATAATATGTTATTTTTGGGTGAGCAGGGATGTGCAATGGTTAGAGCGCTTACCTTCCACCAATGTGGCCTGGGTTTGATTCCCCCCGTGTTCCATTTGTGGGTTAAGTTTGTTGTTGGTTCTCGCCTTGCTCTGAGGGGTTTCCTCCAGGTACTCCTTTTTTCTTTCCTCCACAAAATAAATCATCTCCAAATTCCAATTCAACCAGGATAGAGGACCTGCATAAAAACCAGTTACAACCTCGTTCCCAGGGTCTCTCATCTTACCGCCCCCTGGAGCGAGCGAAGAGAGACCCTGGTTGGGTCTGGTCACGTGCCACTTTGACAATTATGAACATCAGGGAGGGGTCCTCTGTAATCAGCAATTTGTCGCGTTGAGCTTTGTCGAATTCGAAGTATCGCGCTGCGACTGCCATTACCCGTGGCGTATATTAATACTTAGCTTTCAGGCTGAAATTTCGAATAATATCTATTCCAACGTTTACCTTAAGGTTAAGCAAGTCTGTCTCGAGGCAATTTAGTGGTCTTGATTGTCAGTGTTGCCGTCTTACCCACTGG